GTTTTTTAACCGTGTCTAAGGTGGAAATCGAAGGACAGTTAACGTGCACATGGAATGTGGTAGCAGTTTTTAAACCACTCGTAGGAGGTTACCTTAAAGAACATCTATAAATAGAGCGAAGCATGAAGACGGAAGGGGAAATTGGCAGAGAGAACAGAAACACAAGTGAACAAGTCTACCAGATGACGACGAATCATGAAGTTTCTGACGATCTGGATTTCTATTTTCATTGATTGTTGTAACCGCTTTCTTTACTTTCCCTAGTATTTTATCTTTAATGCAATTTAATTTTACGTGTCTTTACTTTCATGTTATTTCATGTTCATTGTCATTTACACTTATGCAATTTAAAGATTCTGCCTTTACACTTCTGCAATCTGAAGATTCTGCATTACATCTTTGTCTCGATAGTTTTTAATATTTTCTTTACTTTCTCAGTAATTTATCTACTTGCAAGTTTAATTTTTCTTCCAGTGATGTCGATTACTTTTTTGCACACTTTAATTTATATCATTTACTCTTAGTGCAATTTAATTTTATGTATTACTTTGTTGTCTCGATGTTCTTTTACTGTTTTCTTTACTTCTGTTAAATTTCATCTTCTCGAGTCTTTTAATAAAAAATACAAAAAGATTACTTTCGATTTCAATATGTATGCTTTATCACGCTTTTCGTGTTTCTAATATACGCGCTTGGTTTCATCTATTTTGCTCGATATTCCTATATTCTCAATTTACATACATTTTTTTATTGAAAAACTGTTTGCTAGCCTAAATAAAAAGAATTTACGTGGTTAAAATTTGGTTAGAACTTAAGTCTTTAGGAAATCGAAACAAACCAAATTTTCGCCAGAAACAATACCTTATCACTTCAATGTCTTTGTTGAATATAGAGGAAATACGGTTTGAAATTAATTTTCCTTATGTATAAACCACACATAGGGTAATCTATTTATAATAGAGAGAGGTACAACTAAAAGAGTAACCGAAAATAAACAAAATAAACAGAAGATATTGTGGTTAAAAATATCTAACAATATCTAACACTCATTCTCAAGTTGGAGCATACAAATCGTATGTGTCAAGCTTGTTACAAATATAATCAATTCTAAGCCCCGTAAAGACTTAGTAAAAATATTTGCTAACTGATCACTTGAGTTAACAAACTCAGTCTTGATGTCTCCAGACATAATATTTTCTCGAATGAAATGACAGTCAATCTCAATATATTTTGTCCTCTCATGAAAGACAGGATTAGAACTAATATGAAGAGCAGTCTAATTGTCACACACAAGTGTCATTTGAGTGACATCTCCAAATTGTAACTCTCTAAGCAATTGCTTGAGCCAAACAAGTTTACAAGAAGCTGAGGCCATAGCTATATATTCTGTTTCTGCACTGAATCTTGCCACAATACTATGTTTCTTACTTTTCCACGAAATCAAGTTACCACCAATAGAGATACAATATCCATATGTAGATCTTCTATCCGAAGGAGATCCTGCCCAATCAACATCTGAGTAGCAAACAACTCTTGTATAGTTATTAGAACCATATAATAATCATTTTCTAGGAGATCCTTTAATATACTTCAAGATACGAATGACTGCATTCCAATGATCTTCACATGGAGAATTAAGAAATTGGCTTACCACACTAACTGTAAAGGAAATGTTATGACGAGTAACTGTAAGATAATTTAATTTTCCAACCAATCTTCTATACTGTTCAGGATCAGATATAGGCTCCCCCTGATTTGGTAGAAGTTTAATAGTTCCAACACCATGAGATGATATTCTAGAGTCATCAGCTAGTGTAACAGAAGGTAAAGGATTAGAAGAGGATAAAGAAGAGAACAAAGATTTGTTACCAGTAATATGATCAGTGACTCCTGAATAAAAAATCCAAGGACCAGGAGAAGAGGATTGGGTCAAACCAGCAAAATATGTATCTGTGTGTGCGAAAAACATAATGGAACTAGAAGATTGTTGATCCTTATACCATTTGAGAAATTTGTTGAACATAACAGGTGTGTCAGTTGCAACAGAAGAAGGAGGATCCCCAGCAGACAAAGGTGGGAAAAGATTGGTCTGAACAACTGTAGCAGATCGAGGAGGATGACCATGTAATGCATAATACTTGTTAATCTTGTGACCTAGCTTGTCACAATGTTCACACTTAGGATGTCTTTTTCCTTGTTTGTGAGGGCGAGTCCGGTAATCACGGTGAGATGCCAACACAGAAGAATCATTAATAGAATTGGAAGTAGTAGAAGGAGTGGAAGAAGTCATGAAGGGCAGGAGAACAAGCCCTAAAAAAAATCCAAAGTAATCCAATCAACCCACGAAACACAGATTCAAAATGAGAAGACCAAAACAAGTCCGTCGAGACTAAACGACGTAGGAGACAACAGACGACCAGCTCCGATAGTGGTGATCTCAACGGCACGGTGATCACCTTACCGAAACGAACAAAACCATATGTCACCGGTCAAAAATGAAACTCCGACGACAGCTCCGGCGACTGCTCCGGCGGCGGCGGTGACAACAGCGTGAACCAGTACACTAAGTTCCCAGGAAAGAGAGGTGGGTCACTAATGGACACACTTAAATACCAAGTCTTTCCTTGTCAAAATCTTCCTAGACATGCACTTTCACACTACCAAATAATATCCAGTAACAAAAATAACTTTTTTCTTGTGGAAGATTAGTTTAATCGACAGCAGCGGTGATGACGACTTCAGCAGTGGATAATGACAAAAAAATTTCAAAATAACCTTAAGCTCTGATACCATGTTGAATATAGAGGAAATACTGTTTGAGATTAATCTCTCTTGTGTATAAATCACACATAGGATAATCTATTTATAATAGAGAGATACAACTAAAAGAGTAATCGAAAGTAAACAAAATAAACAGAAGATATTGTTAGATATTGTAGTTAACAATATCTAACAATATTTAACAATATCTTAACAATATCTAAACAATATTTAAGTCTTTCTATCAAAATTACTCACGTAATAAAGTGTTAATTTTTTCTCTTTCCAAATAAGAGAAACTTAAGAATGTTGTAGTAAAAACAAGGTTCACTCATTGATTTTTAATCTTAAAAGTTTTACCACTAGAAATCTTAATTTAAAAATTAAGGGAATTTTTTTATTTTTTACAAAAAAGTAGTATTTTATTACATCTATTGAATATTAACTTCCAAAAATCCTACAAATATGAATATAAAAAATAAATTCATAATATGATATAGAATTACTATAACTTTCTAATTTTAGTTAATCATCTTCATTTTTATTTAGATTTATTGCATCTTTCTTCATAAATTTTGTTTTCCAGAATTAATTTTTTTTTATTAATTAATGAAAAGTTAGATGAAAAGTAACAAATTATGCACCATTTTAGTTATAATCCACTTATATAGTATATTAATCTGATTAGTTACAAGTTACAATTCACTTAGATTCTCATATATTAATTATTTTTAAACTTTTTAAAAATAAGGTAAAATTGGTAAAATATAATTAATATAATTTTAAATTTTACACATGAAAGATATATTTTGATTTTTTTAAGTTTTTAAAAACTAAAAAATAAAAACAACTTTTAGAAATAATTTTTAAAAACAATTAAAAAAATTGTTAATCAAGTATTTTAATTTGTAAAACCTAAAAAAAACTGTAAATAAACAAATCCTAATTCAGTATTTATTGTGTTAGTCAATGTTACCCTCGTGTCTCCTACAAGTCTAGCACAAATTCGATGCTAATAAATATAAATTAGATATTATGATTTATTAATAAAAAGAGAGAAATATTGATTTGTTGAAAAATTAATGAAAACCAAAATTTCTTCATATTAGTTGATTTTTCTGGATTTGGAAATTTTTAATAACTTACTAATAGCACCTTTTGTCCCCACATATTACACTTTTCCAAATTTAGTATTTTATATTCTAGTTGCACCAATTTGGTCCTTCAATTATACAAAACTGCAATTTTAATTTCTCATATCCTAATTACGCAATTGAGTTTTAACCTGATCCGATTGAAGAAAATAAAAAAGGAAAAAAATATAAAAGGGGCTTTAGTTTTAAATTTAAATTAGGAAGGATTTAGTTTTAATTTTGATGAATGAAAATATTTTATATACGTTATGTGACCATAGATGCATTTGACTAGTAATTTTTAGAAAAAGTTTTAAGCTTTAAATACGAGACGTTTTTTTAATAAAGACCGAATTCAATTTTATTTGAATAATCGTTTTAAGAATATATTTTTTATACCTTTGCATATTAATATTACTTTTTGCTAGTTGCTGAGAAACTATGAAATGCAAGATGGAAATAATTGAATAAGACAAGGTGAGTCTTATTGATGAATAATACAGTTTGCGTGTATGCAGTGTGTGCACTGAATCGCGTTATTATGATGGATGCGAAATAATCAAAAGTACCTTGGAACACGTTGGGGACATTATGATGTAAGGAAAACGAAACAAATTTTCTTTCCTCTCCTTATGTCACTGCATGACATCATAGTACAAACGTTGTAGAAACTAGAAAACATGACGCACCATGCACCTGTTCAAAGCAATTATTCTAGTTACATATTCCATCACACTAGATTTTTTCCAACACATGGGTTTGAATTGAACAATTTACTCAAAACTACTACTCATCAACTTTGGTCTCTTTTATTTTCATTGTGGGAATACCAAGAAAGTAAGGAACCCATAGCCATATAAATCAATGAGTGGATTTTCTTTCATTTCACTCACTTTTCTCAACTACCCCTACTCAATATTATATTCTAGTTTATATAAATAAGGGCTTCTTCAATATTTAATGTTGTTTACTTATCATTCTTTCGTCAGTTATGCAGTAACCAAAAGAAGTTCTAAAAGCTGTGATTAATGGTCGTTCAACTCTTGGACACAGCAATCATAATGGATGAAAAGGTAAAAATAACCTCCTTTTTCTTTGTTCTAACTCATGTTTTTGTATGCCGCTAACTTGTGTTCTGGAAAGAAGAATCAGGAAGTGGATACCCTTAACCATTCAAAACCATATACTGAATATGCTCATCCTCTTGTGAACTTTTTCACCTAAGGATGAAAGCATGTGTAGCTAATTCTTAAGTTTATTACAATAATCTTGATTTGATGATTAGGTGGAAACTCTTAAATCTGAGTTGCAAAGAGTGAGAGATGAGAATAACGCTCTAAGACTGATGTTTGAAGTTCTAAGCAGCAAGTACACTAAGCTTGAGTCTTATCTTCAAGAGATAGACAAAAAGCCAGATAAGGGCATAAGTTCAAATGAAATAGAGTCAGTGCCTACTTTTGATGCAAACAAGAGATCGAGACTAGAGTTTCCTACTGCAAAAAAACCACTTCAAATCTTTGTCAAAACACACCCCAGGGATGATAGTTTGGTATGTGCTGTGCCCCCAAGCTACTAATTTATTTGATTGTGTACAAGTGAGATGACTTAAATTCATGCTCAAATTCTATCTTGAAGTTTGCATGTTTATACAAATTTTGCTTTGGGAACATAGATAGTAAAAGATGGATATCACTGGAGGAAGTATGGACAGAAGGTCACCAAAGACAATGCTTCTCCCAGAGCTTACTTCAGGTGCTCCATGGCTCCCATTTGCCCCGCCAAAAAGAAGGTAGATAGTGTGAACGTATTCTAAATTCAGTTTGTACTTTTTTCCTATAAGCAATTAAAAAATGTAATATAATAAAGATTAATAAATGAATGCACAAGTATTCTTTTTTTATATACTAAAGAGGTTTGAATCAAAGATGCTTTATAAACTACTCAAATCAATGAAGGGAGTAGTTAAAACAACACCCTTATGTACAAAATCAGGACATTTTGAAATAGATTGGGTCATTTGACTATGTGTCAAACATAGCTCCGAGCCAGCAAAAATTGAGATACGTTTAGCCAATTAGGGAAAATGGAACTGGTCAAAAAATAGCAAAAGTTTTCTAATTCATTAGTAGTTAGCTTGGAGTAAACCCAATTCATTTCTTCAAGATGGTTAACTAATTATATATATATATATATATATATATATATATATATATATATATATATATATATATATATATATATATATATGTATGTATGTATGTGTGTGTGTGTGCGCGCGCGATTTCAAGAAATCTTAATATTTTGTCTTATCATATGGATTTTCAAAGTGCTTTGTCTTAATCGTTGTAGGTGCAAAGATGTTTACATGATAAATCTATCCTTGTTGCAACTTATGATGGAGAGCACAACCATGGTGCGCTTCATGAGTCATCTTCATCCGCACCAAACGGCATATCAGTGGCTAATCAGTTGCCTCTAACAAGCATAGCAAATGACAAAGAAGCGATGAACATTGACTTGGCTCTTTCTGGGTGGTCTCAAACAGATAGGAGACATAGTGAAGACGTAATGCACCAGCATAACTATGACAGCACCCTCAAAGTTGAAGAGTATGTAAGTTCTCTAATCAAAGATCCTGAGTTCACCATGTCATTAGCTGAAGCAGTTGCCCGCACCATCACTGGCCAGCACAAGCAGCAAGATCTAAACCTCAATTTGAATATTCCAGAAGAGTGAATCAATCCTTCTTTGTCCCCAACCCCACAACCCCCAAAGTTCACATGCAAGTGTAAAGACGAATTTTAGTCCAGTGAAATGCAAGATGGTAGCAATGACGGAGTGAGGAAAACTTCTTTAGGTCCGTTTAAGAAATATATTATTTTTCATTTTCTGTTTACACTTCTAGTTACAAAAATCTTACATTGTTTTTGTCTTGTTTTCTGTTTTCAAAAGTTAGTACAGCAAATGGTAGAAACAATTTTGTTACTGACACAAACTTTTGAAACATAAACTAGAAAATGAAAACATAAAGTGCTTTCCCCGATCAAACTATCTCCTAGTTATTCATACACAATACCAGATTGCGAATATTAAAAGTGTTAGATTTTGCAGCTCTTTCATATTTTCTTACTTGTCATGTCATTCGGAAAATTTTATAAGAGAAAGGAATAGCTCAACAGAAACAGTCTCAATTAGTCATTACTCATTAACCTTAATAGTCTGCTTGGTAACAACGGAAAGAAAGTAAGAGAGTAAAGTTTAAAATTTAAATTGAAACAAAAGTGGAAAAAACAAATAGAATCTGTCTCTAAAAGTTACCATTTCTTTTTCTTGTACTTCTATTTTCATTCTAGCCAGACAAAAAAGCATTACATCATTATTCCTAATTTATGTTCTTTATATTCCTTTCTTCTATCCAAGCATGCCATAAGTGTTCCACCAAGGGCTATTTGATGGGATTTGATGCACATAAAAACAAAGCAGTTGTCAAATGAGTGCTTGAACTTCAAACAAACGGATATGGATCAGTAAAATGAATAACATGTATTCTAACCAATAGTTCAATATTTACAAAGCATTTTCCTTCATCAGTTCATGTAAAGCATAGGGCTTTAAATGAAAATTCAGTACAGGTGCCTCTAAGAACTCTCTTAGGTAAAATTTAAATACTACTCTATCTTATGAGGGGGGAAATATACCACTGGATCAGCATTTACATAGCTAATGTGAGTACACAATTTTGGACTAAAAGAGTAAGACTAAATCAATTTGTACACCGACAGTTCACTCCTCACTCAAGTGAACACCATAAAACTGCTTTTCTGCTTGACATGGAACAAATTGAGGTTGAAATGAATGTCAATTAAAAACTCATGGCTATGCAGGGTATAGATATCAACGTAAAACGAGCTTTGACAAGGCTTATATGCCGTGAGCATGACATTTCTTGCATTCGAGAACTCGAGTTATTGGGTCATCATCAATGTCAATGCAGCCAAGAACAAGATGATTTTGCACTTGTGCAAAGGGTTTTCTTCATCCAACCACATGGCAACTTTATCAATGTGGAACAACTCTTGTTTTGAGGCCTTCAAAAGATCATATCATTTAATATTCCCACTCTTTATTGTGGTCCTCATCATCTGTTCGGACTCCTTATTAGCAGCAGCTAGCTTCAACTTCTCATTTTCTGCTTCCTTCTCTGCTCTCTTTTTATCTAGTTCAATCTGCTTGCAATTTTCTTCATGTGCTTTTACGAACATTCTCACGAAGTTGAGCAGCGTAGATACAACTAGAGAAAAGAACAGAATCAAATCCCCGAAAAAGTTGCCACAGAAGTTTAATGTGAAACGATGATTTTCGTTTTAGTATCATTATCAAATTGTTTCATGTATATATTGACAGAAATAGCTTCTGGGAACTTTTCAATTGAGTGTTTCTCCTAAAATGTGAAATCCATTTTGATTCATAGTGGTATTTTGAGATATGGTGGTACAGTATTATAATTTAAACTCATCTATGGTTTTGAAAATAAGATTAAGTGCCCATTTGATTTCCTTCTCAGTTTTTGGTTTTAAAAATTGTTTTGTAAAATAATTCCATGCTACTAGGCAATTAATTTCTCAATTCTCATTTAAAATCTATTAAGTTTTGAAAACTGTTTCTAAACTATAAAACATAAACGACTAAGCAATGTTTTCTTATCCTCTTCTTTTTTAGTTCTATCTCAAGGGTAAGGGTGGTGTCGCGAGGCACAATCTTGGTCTGAGTTTGTTTTTTTTGTTTTTCTTGAAAACTAAACAGTTTTCTAAAATACAAATCAAATACACCCTATGCTGACAGTTTTTTGTTCTTCCCTAACTCTTCTAGACAACTAAACACAACCTAAAGGGAGTAACAATGCAACACGGGAGCAACAATGCTGCACAAGGGTGCAAACCTGTCGTCCATAAACAACAATCGCAATGAGTAGTAACAAGCATATAGTTTTTTAAAGATTACATGCACCAAAGTGCTACATAAAATGTTAATGTAGACTAATATAAAATACAGTTTACCTTGTTCAAATGGGCAACGTGCTGGATCTTCACCGAAGTATAAAGCCAATGCATCTGCATTTCTACCCTGGTACATTCAGATTCAGAAAATCAGATACATCCCAAGTATCTGCAGTTCATCATTTATGCAAAAAGATATCCTAAAAAAAAAACTGAATCCATACCACATTGGCATAAAGTTGAGCCAAAGACCTTACTTCAGCTTCAGCATAAGAAAGAAATTCCTTCAGAATCTGAACATTACCAAATAGGGAACAAAAACAAATCATTCAAGGTAAAGCTAAATATTTTATCAACATTAAATTTTATTGGCAAAATCTATAATTCAGTTGAGTTGCACTTGCACATAACCCTGACAGAAGGGTAATTATGTGTCTGAGATACTTCACATCCCTTTTAATCCTATATATGATGCTGCATAACTGACACATATTTGCATTAGTCTATTGCAATACAATTGTAGCTGTGGAGTTCTGTTGTCATAATATTAAAACCAATATAAATTTAAATACCTGTGTTGTCAAAAACTTGTTTTACAGCATGTTAATATTCATCATGCCATGATTTACACATATGTAGCCTAGGCCAAGCTTCTACAATATATATTGATTCAAATTCATTGGAATTCAGAATCATCTCTGGTTAAACATTATGACCCGCTATATGTCATACCTGGCAAAAGTTTTCTGACACAAGTCCATCATTCTCTGATGCTGTCAATTCCTGAACTACTTTCTCCAGTCCTTTACTAATAGCTTGCATTTCCTCTGCCAAAAATTTTAATTGTATCTGTATGGAACACAAGCTTATAACTCAGAATAGATCAAAATCCGAACAGAAAGAACTGAAACCACCAGGCATAACATAACGTTAGAATAAATTAAAAAAATAAAAACCTTAGTTGCAGCCTCCAAACTCACTAGGTCTTTGGGAAAATCTAGAAGTTCTCCAAGTTTTTCAGAAAGCACCTGAAATTCATCAATCATCAAAACAATTACTATTATTTCAGAGGAACGAGCAATGCCAAGAATTTACATTGAAAAGGTGCAGTAATATACAATTGAACTTGACAATTCTCTGGCATACTTATATGGCAATAACCATAAACAAAGTGCAAGAAACTCTGTAGTCCTTGGAAAGAACATACAGTTGCAGTTTCATCTCTAAAAAAATATGACAAAATAAGGAAATATGATGATCAATCCCAAGTGATAATGAAGAAACAGGAAAACTAATCCTAAGAGATTACCTGAGAAATCCTAAAAGATGAAATATTCATACAAATGTCCATATGCATTGCAGTTATATTGACCTATATTTATAGAATGAACCTGTCAATTTCCTGAAGTTCATGTTTCTATTTCTTCACTGAAGCGAAGTAGTGGGGAAAAAAATTCTAGCACACAATCTTCATAGTTTCTCTTAAGCATATTTGCTATAAAATCCTTGTGGGAAAAACAATAGTTAGTAGTAATTCAATCTTCATACAGAGAAAGTAAGCAATCTATTTCTCTCGTATCTCATACCAGAGTCAAATTCCCAAAGGAACATAAATTCTTCTGAACAAGCTGAGAGGGATGGATGCTGGAGAAGCAACCGATATCTTTCTCAATATGAATCACAACTTTCCAGTGTAATTATTAAATGGATTGTTAAACTCTTCTTTTTTACTATTGTAATTATGTTTACTTATTGAAGTTAGTTTGCTTGTGTTAGTGGTAATGTTCAATGATGGGTTTAGTCTCATTTTAGACAAATTTGTACTCTAAATGTAGTGAGCACATGATCTTTTACTACCACCATGTACGGATATAATGAGGGACAGTCATTTCTCCTATATTTACCCTTAAATATAAATCAGAGTATGAAGAAAAATATGATTATACAACAAATACAAAAATTGCTCTGCTTCTCTTCGCAACTCTTCTCCTTTCATTTTATGCTTTAGTTTTATGTTTTCATGTTACAAGGCTGTGTTCTTACAGGCTGTGGGCCTGAAAAAACTACGAAGAAGGAAAGTTGTCTCTTAGCTTTGACAAAAAACTGTTTACCAACAATATGCATTCGGAAACAGCCGAGCAAATATGGAATACTGAATGAAGATATGCATGTGATGATAGGGTAAGGTCCATTAAGCTTTTGGCTATTAAAACATAGTTTGAAATGCAAAAAGTGAAGGAGAATGAGTTTGTCAAGGAGTACACTTCAAAGTTGCCCCATTTGCCTATGATAGGCAATATTGATGTTTATGTGATACTTATCAATTTTGGAAGATGCACAAAAAGTCTTTTTCTTCAAGAACTACAAGTGCGAAGAACAAACTAGAGTTTGTTCATATTGATTTGTATGGTCTATTGAATATGCCTTCTTTAAGTCAACAAATATTTCATTTAGTTCATTGATGACTTTACCAAAATGACTTGGGTGTATTTTTTGTCAAGCAAAGCTCAAACTTTCTACAAAAAGAAAGTTTATAGCTATGGTGGAAGCTAAAAGTGGTTGCAATATTAAAATGTCAAGATCAAATAATGAAAAGGAATACAACTCCAATTAATTCAACATGTTCTGTGAAAGATGACAATCAATTGACAATTAGTTATAACTTGACCATAGTTGAGTTTTTAAGAGAGAAGACATAACATTTATGGAGATGGCAAAATGTTTAATAGCACAAAAAAAAAAAAAAAACTACCAAAAAGCTTACGGGTTAAAGCTGTTTTTACAATACTGTATCTCTTGAATAGGCTAAAGAAAGAGTTGATCGAGAGAAAATACTAATTGGAGCTTACATGGGAGTGAAACCCACTACAAAAACACTAAAAGAGTTTCAGATCGATCTCCTATGTTCATGTTGCTAAAAGATCCCAAATGGACAACAAAGCTAAATTGGGAATTTTCCTAAGATATGTTGCAAGCTCCAAAGGTTATAGAATGTACAATCTCAAGTCAAAACAAATTGTGATATGCATGGATATTAATTTGATGATGATGCATGTTGGGATTGGGAAAATACTTAAGTTCAAAAAAGCATGAAGACTAAACAACAATATAAAGAAAGATGAAAGTCAGATTTCTGAATTTGATTCTTTGATGCTCAAAACCAAAAGGGAATAATGAAATGAATGAGGACTGACTATGATTAACAAAAATGATACTTAGGAACTCATTTTAAGGCCCAAGGACAAGCATCTAATTGATGTGAAATGATTTCATAGAACAAAGCTACATCATGATGGTTCTATTCACAAACAAAGCTAGACTTGTTTGAAGGGATATTCTCAAATGGTTCAAGTTGATTATAGTGATACATTTGCATATGTTGCAGGCAGGAAATAATTAGATTAATTGTTGCTTTATCAGCTAAATATGGATTGGAAAATTTTCACTTAGATGTCAAATTGTCACTTTGAAATCATGTTTTGGAAGAAATTTGATGTTGGGCAGCTTGCTGGTTGTATTGTTGCAGATCATGAAGAAGATATTTATTGGCTTCAAAAAGCCTTGTATGAGCTAAAACAAATTCCAAGACCTTGGTACAACAAAATTAACTCACATTTTTTGCAAATGATTTTAGGATAAGTCAAATGAGCCTACATTTTATGTGTGAGAATGTTGCAATGGGAAGAAAGTTGTTTTCACTTTATGTTGATGTTTTCCTAGTTACAAGTGATGATGATAATTGATAAATTTAAGAAAGCATGTTGTAAGTTTTTGAAATGACAAATCTTGGAGTGATGGGTTATTTTTTAGGAATGCAAGTGTATCAACTTAATGATGGAATCTTTCTCTCACATAGAAAGTATGCAAATGACTTTCTAAAAGATCATATTGGAGAGTTGTAATCTTGGTTCAACTCCTCTTATTTTATATGAAAAGTCGTCCTAGCATGATGGTGATGAAAAGGTTGATGTAACTCAATATAGAAGCTTGGTAGGATGCTCTTTTTACTTGACTACAACTAAACCAAATTTGATGTTATTTGCTAGTTACTTTTCAAGGTTCATGCATTGACCAGGTTTGACACTCTTTGGTATGGCAAGAGCATTGACGAAGAACTTAAATACTCCACCGAACATCCTTTAATACCCAAGTTTCTATCATAGGCTATCACTGTACAAAACTTCATTCAACTCCCTTAAGAGCCAGCTGATACCACTTAAAAGCACCCAAACACTTAGGGAATCTACCCTCAAAATTATCAATTAAGAGGGGAGAATCAAACACTTAAATGCTCCACTGTGCATCACATATTACTGTACATGGGACTCAGACACCCTATAATACCCAAGTCCCTACAGAAGTCCTATAATAAACTATAAATTACTCCATCAACTTGATTACGTGTTGCATTTCACCAATCAGTTTTTCAATATATACTATGAAATGTTTCTCAGAAAATATCCTTTTACCTACAATTTGTAAACTGAGGAAAAACTAAACTTCTGGTGCATACACAATTCATGTTAAAATTTAACAATATCAGGTTTTTTTACCTTACAGAGATAATGCATAAGAGTCATCTTGCTATTTCTAGCTCGTGTATCTGTGAGTTTAAGGAGACTATCCAATCGAAACCCAACAGCCGAACCTACAGTAATCATATAATTTAGTAGGAAAGCAATCAAGCCTACAGTGGTTTTCATATAAAGTTTAATTTATCGAGACCAAGAATAAATGTTAAACACAAGCAATAGCATGCACATAAACTATATGAATTATGAGTATTTGAAAAGTTCAGGTTTGATTATAAACTTCTCTACATTATATATACACAAACATACGATTAGTGATGGTGAAAGCTAAATCTTTAACTCACCTCTTGCTGTTCCATGGTTCAAAGCATTACCCAGAGAAAGAATGGTCTGCATGATTCTTTTCAACTTGACTGAATTCCTTATCTGATACACATAAAATGGAAGCTGCCGATTAATCGACTCACAAAATAGAGTATTCAAACGAAAAAAAGAAAATGTATGACTCACCTCTTCAGATGCAGAATTCACAATATTCAAGTCCCTTTTAAGCTCTGAAACCTACATTAAAATTACATGGCAAAGTGCACCAGAGCAGCTAAAGTTTTAATGGCAGGAAAACATAATTATTTAATAATAACTAAGCATTGTATGGTTGTCTTCTGACCTGGGCTAAGAATTGCATCTTAAAAGAGAAAACTCTTAGCTTGCTTTCCACTCTTGGCACTTTCATTAATTCTAAGAAGAACTATCACAAAATGCAAAAGAAAATAAGAATGAAATGGAAAAGAAAGAAGCAATCTTCAAGGTGGTTAGAGAAAACTATGTATAGCACGTAAGATATATTAGAGATCTTGACCTAAAATGATATCTCTATTTGCAAAATTAGCACTGGCCACAAACACACAGGTTTACATAAGAAAGATTGATGTGTCTAGTTATATTTTTCACCACCGATTATTGTTTTATTGTTAAATTAATGCTAGACATGTCATCCTAACAGAAGTTGCTTTAAGTGGAAAAAAAGCGTTAAAAAAGGGAACAACAAATTGTAAACCTCCACTCACCTGCTCACACTTTCCCAAGTTGTCAATATTCCCAGTGTAGTTCTGCGTATAAAGTATGGCTATAGCTCAAATAAACATAGATTGTAGCATATTTGCTGATGCTCCACCTATGACATAATGTACTGTTAGAAGAATCAAGAAAAAGGCATGATACCTTGAGTGTTTCCATCTCTTCTTTGGTTGGTGAGAATTTTATGAGATTCTCAATTTGATCAACATCCAATACTGAATCATCCATTGCAAGCACGGCACTCTGAAAGACAATGATTCATGTGAGAATAAAAGTATTAATTGGCATGTTTCTACGATTAGAAAAATTCCTTTCTGACTAATTGAGTATTTTAAAAATTGGGATTTTCAATTAAAACTTAAAACAAAACAAAGACATTCATCAGTCAAGCAGGAAATTATACAATTACAAATAACATTACAAGCAAAATTTAATGACAACTAGAAAATTAACTTTTAAAGCAAATGGAGCTTAAAATGACCATGATAGGTATTTTTATTGATAAAATAATAACCATGTATGCAAGTTCTTAAGTAAAGCTGAATGATAGGTTATGCAACCCATTCAATATGTCATAAATTCATAATATTTGCAGTTAATTTAAGCACCAGCTGTTCAGGACCTCAGGTATAACCCAACTACATGGTTTTACCCAGGCTAACTGATAGACAAGTATGGGCCTGGACATTAATGGAAGGCCCAAACACATGGAGGGTGTATGTTAGGAGGAACAAGGGTGTGAAAGCAGGGAGGGATATGGCAAAGGATGTAACTGCATGGTGTCAGAACTAGGGGGTATTTGAGGGACTGAAAGGGAGAGTAAGGGGTAGACAAATATTCAGTTATTTTTCAGTTAGGGGCAGAGGGTTGTAGTCACCCTGTAGAAGCCTTGCTGTGTGGCAGAAGAAGTTCATTATTTCTGTAAATCCTTTTCATCATCTAATATCAACAACAACTCTTTCTCTCAATTTCCCATTATTCGTTGTTCTGGTGTTTGGTCTCTACCATTAACATTATTCACTAATGACCAAAATACTTGAGAAATACACTCAGTTAGAGGAATTGAAAGTGGAAACTGAGTTTGGTCTAGAAGGTTTTTGTAAAATACAAAATTGAATAAATAAGGTTTGTTGAAATTAGCTATGGAGATTTAAAAGATAGAACAAAACATTTTAGTGACATAATATAATATTTTAGGGTGTAACCAAAGCAGGACATTCCTCATACTATGAAGGAAGTCGGTGAAAATGGCTTGTGGTGGTTGCTGAGAATCAATGGCATGTGAAACATGATAAGAAAAGGCCAAAGCAACAATCATGGTGTGACATGGTTGGTAGATAACCTTGTCCTTAGATACGTAGTTAGGGGTTCAATCCATGATCAATGCGTATGGAAAAAAAAAATTGGGAGAGGACAGCCCCTTAAATGGGATTTAGTATCAGGTAGATTAGTACTCAGCTCCCATCAGTGGCGAATCTTGATCATTGATCTTAAGGAGACTAAATAATATATTATTAATAAATAATAAATGAATATAAAAAGGTGTAAGAATATAGAAGGATAAGAGATCGTATTTATAAATATACCAGCAGATATATTTAATAATCATTAAATTTGGGGGAGCCAAAATCATAAATGTTGATATAAGTTACAAAACTTTAAGGGGGCATCGCCCCTTCATCTCCTGAGAAGCTCCGCCACTGGCTCCCAACATAGGGATACCCGGATTCAGCCAAAAAATAAAGGACAGAGCAAGAGGAGGCTTGCACTTGTGTGCCATTAGCCAAGTGTAGAGGATGACCATGAAGTCCATAGCATCAACCTAAAGTGTTGCCTGGCTATTAGTAATGATCACACCGGATGGAATTTTGCAGGACTGACCATGGGAACCACTTTGAAATACCAAGTCAGACAATTAATTAAGTATAAAGGGAACATCCAAAGCAAAGGAGGCTTTGGTTGGCACCCATCATAAAGTATGTGGAGTTGAAATTAAGAATTGTAGGAGAAACCAAATCCAGTCCTGAAAAGACTAGTACTCTACAAGGAACCCATTTATGGCCAACATGAAAAAGGTCTTTCATTGTTCAAGTTCCTGGACTCAGGTGGCAGTGGGGGCAGAAGCTCATTGATGTCATGAAGATTATGGACAACTTTGCTCAAATATTCAGCCACGGGAAAATAAAGGTGATGGGGCAATAATACTCATAACGGATTAGGAAACCCCATAAAGGCAGCATACATCAATGGTCAAAAGAACACATGCCTATTCCCAAACTTCTAAAGTCTCTTGAGCACAGAAAATCTGCTTCAAAGAAGGTTAAATAGTAGATAATAGAAACTGCACAATTGGGCATCAATCCTGTTCCCACAAGAACGATCAAGCCTGTGATAGAATCAACCTATGTAGTCACGAGATCAACATTTCCTTTGACCCTTCAATGAGAGCTTGGTGTTGGAAATACCATACTTGGTACCATCCAACTTGTCAATAGAGAGTGGGTTAGGCACATAGTTGTTGAAAATAGGAAGATCATCCAGAATGGAGTGGGAAAAAACAATGCCAAAAAAATAGCACGGCAGTGGCCCTACCAAGAAACAGGAAAAAATAATTGGCACCAATAGATCGTAGGTCCACAGGAAAGCACGCAATAGGGTTGTCTCTTTCTTGTTAGGTTAGGTACCATTTTAAGAAGAACAGAAAGCAAGAGACATGGCTGAATGTCTGTAAATTTCAACAGTGTATAATTACGTACTGTGGGTAATAGTTACATGAAATAACTTCTAATTACCATAATTATGTAAATCCTAGAATTACGTAATTACAATCATTAAGGATATCTATCAATTTCCAACAATTGCCTAATTACAATAATTAAGGATATCTATCAATACCCAACAAATACCTAATTACCATTAAAGATATATAACAATATCTTACTGTCTCTATTATCTCCTCCTCCTTCCTTCAATATCTAAAACCTTATAATCTCAACAAGAATTATTTGTGATCTTTCTGTGTTTATACATTTTCTCTGCCTACAGTTTTCTTTAAAGTAAAACTACAATAAAATTGCATCAAGAATGACTACAGCCTCATCTGAAAAAATGTGAAAGTATTCTACCAATCTGATTGAATTTATCTAATCCGAGGAAAAATATAAAATCAAGCCAAATATTAATTTAGTGAAGTCATAGCAGCAAAGCATGGGCATACTGATTTAATGCCATAATAAATATCCTAATTATTTGGACCAGGCAGTGACTAAACTTTCTACTTGAATTTGAACATCAAGCAAACCCAAATCTTGGAGAAATATATTGCTTGCTAAATCAAGAAGTACCCAGTTGAGACAACAAATTCTTCCAAATCATCTATACCTTAAGCAATTACGATTTATAAAGGTTTAAAACAGTGACTGAGAAGAAAAAGAATGTTCTCTTACACATAAATTCAAATCAAAATACTCATAGCATTTATGTGTTAATAAATATCATAATGGATGATTCTTACCATCAAATCAGGTAAAGGGATTTTGACTTTTGTAAGCATGATCTCACAGTTATATGCCCGCCTAAGCTCAATCTGCAAGGTAACATGAACCTTCTGTGAAGAGTTCAAATTCTATAAAATGTCTTCACAATAATTAAATGAACAACTTAAGCCATAAAGAAAAGCCTGAGACATTAGAGTTAGGAGACTAAACAGAAGCTACACAGATAGATCACAACCAATTCACTGATGAAAAAGAAAATGAAATTATCATCCAGTTCCTACAATGATAATCAATACGCATACATGGCACAATCAAGAGAAAATGGTGGAATAAAAGCACTTATTTAAAAATGTGAATTTCTACTAATTTTGTTTTAAATTTAAGATCTAATATTTCAATGAGGTCAGTAAATGAATATCAGAATAGTTAAAGGGCTTTTTTGGGACTTTTTCTGACAAAAAATGAAGATGAAAATCTACTTATCTGTTGTCTTTACTAATAGTGGCGATTAGTTAATATCTGAACTAATTAGATTCAACACGTAAGTTCATGAAAAGGCATACCAGTTGAACTTTCTCAACTTTTTGCCCCGAGCCACGGCGATTTGATTTTCCTCCTTTTCCATCATCAGAAGCTGGAGCAGCTGCGGAGAACAAAGTCTCAAGTTCTGACATGTCAAACTCTGGAGCCCTAACACCAAAAAGGTTTTAAAAAAAGAATAAATAAGAAGCACAATTCATATAAGCTCAGATTTAAAACTTTTATAACTGAAGTCAGAAAAGACACATACCTACAAAATTCATCCAGTTTCTGTGTCTCAGCCCATAAGCTTCCTTGCATTGCCCTCGTTAATTTTAACCAATGGTAAGGTTTCAGATTGCTCCTTTTACTCTGAGACTGACCTTTTGGATTAGCTCGCAACAGGCCACGTCCAGGAACAGAAGGTGCCCCAGGAGCAGAAGGTGGTCCAGGAGCAGAAGGTGGTCCAGGTGCCCTAGGAACAGAAGGTGGTCCAGGAATTCCAGGTTTTGACAGTCCATTGGCAGAAAGGGGAGGTGGGGGTACAGGTGGAACATTTGTGGAGCTAGACAAAGAATTTTGGGATGCAGAACCAGGAGGAGGGGGTGGTGGTGGCGCTAATGGTGATGGAGTTGAACCAGAAAGGCTAGGAGGTGGAGGTGGTGGTGCAGGTGGAAAAGTTTGTGATGCAGAAGCTGGAGGAGGGGGTGGTGGTGGCACTGATGATGTAGTAGAACCAGAAAGGCTAGGAGGTGGAGGTGGGGGACAAGGAGGAGGTGGTGGTGGCGGAGCAGGAGGACCTTTACATGAATCTTTGGCTGTGGAAAGTGATGTTTCAGGAATGGAAGGGGGTGGGGGAGGAGGGGGAGGAGGACTAACCAATGATTTCTGACCTTCATTGTGCATTGTATCAGATTGCATCAGATTTGAAGTATGAGAAGGTGCTAGTGGTGATGGAGGGGGAGGAGGAGGAGGAGGAGGAGGAGGATTGACTGCTGCAGGAGAAAAGGATCCAAAAGTCTTTTCCACAGTGTTAAGAGCATCAACAGAAGTTTTTAATGGCAAAGATGGAGGCAAAGGTGATGATGATACTGGAGGAACACTTGTGGAACTAGGCTCTATAGAATTTAACACCTTGGAGTCTGAAGGAGGCAATGTGGAAGGCAGAGGAGATCTTGTCACAGCATGAGTTACTTCTTTGATATCCGCTGGTGCATGATCCTGCAACACAGATGTTATTCCAAGAGCTGATGGTGCACTACGATATCTTGAGATAGCTACAGGTGAACCTTGTAAGGAGTTAAAATAAGAAGCTGAAGCAGATCGAACAGCTGGACGCACCCGGGGTGAAATTATTTTAGATTGGGCAGGAAGCTGGACGGAAATCTGCATTTCTTGAGGTTCACTTTTCGTTTTAATTGGGTTTGCATCAACAGGCAATACTCGAGGGTCGTTGTTCTTTTCCATAGGAGCACTACCAGATGATTCAAACGAGGACATAGACGGCTTCCCTTCAACTTCAGAAGTAGAACGTCTTGTATCAATTCTTGCAAGTGGCCTAGGTTCAAATTTGAATCTGCTATCATTTCCCAAAAATGCATCCGAGTTGAATGATTCAATCGCTTTGTCCTTTGATCCTAACAAATCAGTCTTCTTTTCCAATGAATCAGCATCAGTGGATGGTTCAATAAAGAGAACAGATTCTTTCCCCTGATTCTCGTGAGCCATAGATGCAGTAAACTCAGTATCCTTTTTAGTAGAATCTGAATAGTTTGAGAGCCCACCTGAGCATTGGAGAGTCTCAATGTCATTTTCAGACAATGTCTTTGATTGTAATGGTTCTGTTTTATTTTCCATATCAGCATCCACATATGATCCCAATGAAGACGTGGAATGCTTCCCCTGGACTGCAGACTTTGTCCCACTGTCCAATCTTTCCAGAAGGATATTTGATGCCGTGATCTGTTGGAGCACACTTGCTACCTCTTCCTTTGAATCTAGCCAGTCCACGCTGCTGAAAATTTCCTTGACCTTAGCAAATGCTTCAATAGGCAGGCCTTCTTTCTCCTCAACACGAGGCAGATCAATTGAAATAACAGAAGAGGAAGCATCCATATCTGAGAAAAGAACCTTCAACCAAAAATACAGTATATATCCCCAAAAACGTTAAGTTGGTTTTATTGCTAATCAAATGTTAAAAACAGGAGAGAACGAGAGAGATCAATACCTCCACTCTAAAATTTTTAGGGAAGCAATCTTTAGCATTCCATAGTATGTCAATTTCATCACGGTTAAGCATCAAAATATTTGACCTTATGAATGCTGTATTAAACATCACCCGAAACATCATTTCTTCATGCTCTAAATCACTGTGCAGATGAATACACTCAAAAACAACATCACCTTGAACATGACAATGGATGTCAATCTTAACCAGCTCACAATCAGCCTGAAACAAAAATAAAGTAAGTAAATAAAGAGAAACAGGAAAACAATAAATCATTTTTTAAGAACCCTGTGTAAGTAGAATTTTAGTAGAGGAAAATGAAGAAATAATGATACTTTTTGTTTTTTTCTAACTGAGTTCATCAGCGCCGGCCAACTGATCAAATCCTGTGTAGTAAAAAGACAAAACAAAACATCCAATTTTTAATCACATTCAACATAATTTTATGTTGATTTTTACTAACTGTTTGCATGCAAATCATAATAAGAACCTCACTATATCAATTAATGCAACTATATGCTAACTTTGAGAGAGAATTTTTATGTTTAACCCATACAATGAAATGGCATAACAAATCATCATTGCAAAACAGTTGGCATACTCTCAGTGATAGTTTAGATTGGCAACCATGGATGATAATATTTCCATACAGGTATTCTCCTATAAAGCTCTACAGGTTTTCTTCCATTCTGCTCATGAGCAAAGGCGGTCAATTTCCCGCTCAAACCATCCCTCCTTAGATTGCATCAAAGCTATCAGCCCCACCCACTTTGCAACACTAACTCTTCCCCAACTTACATAGAGCATAAAACATTTAATAAGATCCTGCTTAAAATGAATTAACTTTGGGTAATCACTGACTTCAGCTAGCACAGTAACTTTAAATAAAAATTTCCATATCTAAAAACAAAAGTGATGTTCAGTTGGATTAGTCTATGTCTTTATATATGTTGTTTTGTCTTTCTGTCTGTGTGTATACACCAATTCAATAAAGGAATTCCACAGCATTGTTTATGATTGAAATGGAGATAATTAAACACATAATGGAAGGAACATCTCAATAGAAGTAGTAAGAACAAATCTAAGGGCGAGAAGTTCATCATCATTAATCATGATCCAGCTTGAATTGTAAAAAAGCATATTAAATTAGAGTAAAAGGACTTGTGTACCACCTGCTTGTAATAGCGGACAAGTTTGCTATTTTTTGGAGTTGAGAAGAGAACTTTGGGGGTTCGATCCGCAGGAATAAAAGGGTCTTGTCCATATATCCTAAATATAGGACGGCAGCCACCCTCTCCACTCATGTTAGGAATGAGTCTTATAATTACACAGTCCAAAGTCAGTGCCCTATCAAGAGGAGGCCATTCTGAACCAACATTTCTTCTTGATATGTACTGAAGATATCTCAATTGTGAAGGTAATGGATTCAATGGTGACATCAACTGCAGAAGTTCCCGAGGAGCTTGCTTGTATATCATGTCTAGTGTTTTCTGCTCTCCTGTAAACATCTTTCTGTAAATCAAGAGTGCAGCTAGCATAAATGCTAATAACGGCCACCCACCTCGTTCACAGTGCATCAAGACAACATTTTGTTGCCCAAGTTGAAGCCAGTTTTCACCTGATCTCAAGAAATGGTGGATCATCTCCATGGTAAGCAATGGACAACCTTCATACTGTCGAGGGTAGTCTATCACAGTCATATCATAGTCACACAAAATGTTTGAAATCTGGCTTTGGCATTCACCCTCCCGCATGTTGAACACCATAAAGGAAGCATCAGGGAAGTGACCACGAAGTTGCCCAATTATTCCCCCTATATACACTCTATATTCTTCTTCTTCCATAATATCCGTGGTAAAGCAGTAATCAAAGACTACACGTGCAACAACACAATAATCACAATCACACATATGAATGACATGAAGATTCTTTATGATGAAGAAATGTACCAATTACCAAATAATATGACATGCCACACGTATAAGCAAAGTAGTGATTGTTGAAAATCAAAAGACCCAAATTCCAAGAGATTATAAAGTCGTTAAGAAAGTATAGCAAGTTTTAAGTCCGCAGTCACCAACAATCATCAATCAACAAATTTTCACTACTTCTTAATTCTGACTGAACAAAGAAAACAAGTTAGCTGAGTATTTCCTGTCAACTCTATGGAGGTTCTTCCCAATACTTCCATACCCCCCACATGTAATATGTATCTCCAGAAGATAAAACATCCATTTGGCTAAGTCACAAAAAAGATGTCAACAGCCTATTGACCAACTGACTTTTAGAATAGAATGATGCATACTGTAACATGAAAATGTAGAAAATTTACAAGATCCCAATTGTTCACTCTATATCTGCAAAATAGGCCCATCACTACCCACTAACACGAAATGCATAAAGATAAAATATTTGCACTCAACAGAAACCAACATTGCTCACATTATTCTATCCCCGTTAATCACTTCAAGTATGCAAAGCAAGCCTTACATAATCGAACCCTGCTCTAACACAAAATGCAAAAAGATGAAATATTTGCACCCATCAGAAGCCAACATTGATTGCATTATACTATTTCCATTATTCACTTTAAATCTTTAAAACAGGCCTCACATTCAACAACCACCACTAAAACAAAATGCATAACGATGAAACATTTGCGCTCAACAGAAGCCACAAAGTTCACATTACAATATTCCCATATTCACTTCAAATCTGCAAAGCAAGCTCACATACCACAACCCCCACCAAGGCAAAATGCATAAGAATGAAATATTTGCACTGAGAAGAAACCAACACTGTTCACTGCCACCAGAACCAATTTGTTCACAAAAAACGAGGCAACAGAAAGCGTACCATAAACCCTTTCAGTGATTTCTAGAAGCCCATCGGGGGGCTTCTTATAAAAGAACTTGCGGAACAATGCCATTGTGTGGAAGATCCACGAGAGTCACCCTGACATGTAGGCCACCTATAACTGCCCTAATTCAACCCACATTGCATCCAAGCTCCAATATTTTAGATCCCCCACCAAATAGAAATAAATTGCAATCGTAATCATGAAGACAGTATTGGTGTTGCCATTGAAGGGAGTGTGTATTCAGGAATCAGACGCATAGATTTTTGCTGGGCCTTTAAGAAACACTTTTTCTGGGAATGTCCTTGTCTTCACATGCACACTATATTTATCTAATGTAAAGAGAAAGAAAGAAAGAAGGGAAACTTAGCTTTCAATCAAAAAAGACAAAGAGTTTATCATAAGAGGGGAATAGGAAGTGGGTGGTGAGAATCTGACCTCAATCCACAGTTGCATTATATGTCATATTCATAGGGAAAGAGTTAAACAATAGATATGGTAAGTCGTTGTTAGAAAAATAAGAACTTTAGAAGAACAATTTGGATCCGAGGTTTCTCTCTCTAACGCAATCTGTGTCTCTGTGTCCGTTATCTTAACATTTTGTTTTGTGAGAATGAACACATGTGATGATGATGTGCCCAAAATTTTTTTATTTTTTATTTTTCATTTCCTCTTACTTATTCCCCTTATGGTTATGGACAAGAAGAAACAAAAAAGATAATAATATCCGTACTAGGTTGTCATCATTTGGTTTTTCCCACTTCAAATATTAAACAATGTTTACGTTTATCACAATATACAGATTCAGGGATTATGGTTTAATACTTTATACTTTATTCTATTTTATCTACAAATTTTATCATGAAAAAATAAAATAAAAAGTGAAAAATCGTATATTTTATCATTAGAAAATTAGCTAAAAGTTCAAAAGCTAACTGGTAGCTAAAAAAAAGTTGCTGACGAGTCATCGAAAGTTGTTAAGTTAACTTATCAAATTATTAATGTTTTGTATAAAGTAGCTTATAAATAAAAGAATAGAATTAGACATGTTTATATAATATTTTATATAAATTTAACTTTTTATTGATAAAATATATTTTGAAGGTAATTTTTTTAATTAGTTTTAAATTCTTATAATATTTTATTTATAGATAACTTATTTTGCTTATATTTATTATACTTTCAAATGTTAATTTATTTTACATATTGTGTTTTTATTATTAACCTTGTAGTATATCTTACTATATTTCTATTCAAATTTAGTATTAAGTAAAAAAATATTTTCTATATATATATATATATATATATATATATATATGAAGATGTTTAAAATAAAGTAAAAAATATAATTAAAATGCATAATATAATAGAAAAAATATTTATATAAAAAAAAACAATTCTACCATCTATTAACATTAATGTATTGAAGTATACTAATGAAATAGTAAAGTAAATATTGTAAATAATAAAATAGTTAGATTAAATTTTATAATATATATTTATCTAAATAATAATAAGTTCATTTTCTATCATTATCTTGGTTAATAAAAAATGAATAAAATAATTTTTTACATAATTAAATAATAAAGTCATGTCTTATAAATAGATACAGAAAATAAATCAAAAAAATAATGTCTAACATTGAAAATAATAAAAGAATTTAAAATAAAATAGGAACAAATATTAAAAAGATTCAAAATAGGATATAAACTACTAAAAAAACATTTATGTACCAAACATTAGTATTAGGGTCATATTATTCTAAAGGAACTGGAGTGAGATGGGAAGAGTGTTAAAAACATGTTCTATAGTTAAATTTGATTGAGAACTACATAAGAGAAATGATATTAAATTAAATATGTTTAAAAAAGTTTTTGGAAAGAAACTCATCCTACCATGCAATAAAATGCTGGTTGGTTAAAGTTTTAGACATGGTATCAAAACTCATTTTTTATGACTGAGGTGTTGATTTCTTTGTCATTTTTAACTTTTTTTTTCAATTTATATATATATATATATATATATATATATATATATATATATATAATTATCAATTATCAAAAATGATAAATGCTCATACAATAATTGCTATTGAAATATCTTGTGTACTACTTAGAGAAATTCTTAATAATAAAATATTAATACGATTTCAGAATTAGAATTATTTAAAATAAGTAAAAATTAATTATATGAATAATTTTAACCTATTTTGCAAGACTAATATTACAAAAATATATTTTATTTTTTAGTTTTTTTAGTTTTTAATCAAAATTAATTTAATAATATATGTAATTTACTAATTTTTATAATTTAAATTAAAAAATAACTATGTTATACATATATATTTATTATATTATTTATTTAAAAATATAAAAACGTTCTATATTCTTAATATTATATTTGAATTTGTCATGTTTTCCACATTATGTTTGAGTGATTTATTGATAACATTTAAATTTGTGTTACAATTAAATCTTAAATTAAGAAAATAATTATGAGATAAAGATTACAAGACAGCTCTGATAGCTGTTGAACAAATTATAAGTTTCCCTTTAGCGGGATATAAAAAGTCTATACTAGACAGTATAAATACTTTTCTAGAAGAGATTTCTAGAAAACTAAAAAGATTGATAAAACTATGTGGCGACATAGAGTATATGGGATACTTTAAGTCACGTAGAAAAAACCTTTGGGGTTATTTAGCTAACCCTATTGCGGATAGAGACTACCAAGAAGCGGTAGATACCTTGGTAGTAGAGCACAGAGAACTACAGGATTGGTTCTCAAAAACTTTAGCAAACCTAGACCTAGAACAAGATAGGTCAGAGGAAAATAGGAATAGTATTTTTACTATCCCTAAAAACGAAAACAGTCCTATGATAGGATATGAAAAAGAAACAATAGATAATGTATCTTTTGATGACATTATAAACGGATTTTTAGATGAATTTTATCCAGATGAAGAGGATAATTTATCTGAAATCTCAGAACCCTTAGAAACCCTAGGGTCTGAAAACATGAGTGTTGAATCGGATGATTCTCAAACTCAGTTAGAATCTGATGAGGATTCTATAAAATCACTACAAAATATTGGTTCAGATAACAACCAAAACCTTACACTAGACAATATGCCTTGTACAGAGCTGAGTCTACAAACCCCTAAACTTCTTCTAAACTTAGGAGAAACATTAGACTATTTGAGTAATGGTTTAATGAACACAACAGAGAAAAATACATGTTGTCATGACATTCAATTTTTCTCAGGACCAGGATCCATTCCTTGTCTACATTGTGAAAGATATTTTCACATTTCTCAAAGGGCTCATTGTCCCCTTTGTTACAAAAATTTCTGTATAGATTGTTTAAAGACTAAACAAGGAATACAGGATATACCTACTTTCTTAGGAAAAGAAGAAAGTACAAAAGACAAAAATTTAATCGACACTAGGACTTCAGTCTTAGAAACCCGATTAAACCTAATTGAAGAAAAGGTTCTTCACTTAGAAAAAATTGTTAAAGGAAAAGATACTCAAAAAGATTTAGTATCTTTTCATACACAAAACAATATGATGGGAACTACGGAACGTATCCCATTAGTTTGTAATACAAAACAACTAATAACTGTTAAGGTATTAGTTAAATTAAACTTTCCTCAGAAAGACAAATATCCTGCCAAAGAGGCTGTAGTTCAAGCCCTCTTAGATACAGGATGTTCTGAAACAGTTGTATGCAGAACAAAAGTACCCACATACATGATTACTAAAAGTAAACATGTACAAAAAACTAGAACGATGTCTGGTCAAATAATGATAAATGATGAAGAGATAAGGAATATCTCTCTTCAATTTAGCACAAATTGTGACCTGTTTGGTCAGAAAATACACATCAAAACTATGAGAGTGGAAAATTTAGTCCCCTCCAAACAAAACATGATTATTGGTTTAAATTTTATCCTAGGCCAAGATCGAACTATCACTATAAACAAAGATTATGTTATAATTAGTGATAGAACACAAATGTCTCCCATATTTAGCGGCGACAACCCAAAATACATAGAACAACCTATGGATGGATGTTTCCATGATTTAAGCATTGGAGAAAAGATGTTTCTCAAACTACCAGGAAAACTTGGTCAAAAAATACGAGAATCCTGGAAAAATGAAGAGGTTACTCCCATGTTGAACAACCTCTCTATACGTATACAGCACATCATGAAAGTGATGGAAGATACGTGTACACATATTGCTATACAAAAGCAATTGAAAAATTCCGATGCTGGAATTTGCAAACAAATCTATACTCCTCAGCAGTATAATCAAAACAAGCCTTACAAAAGGCCTATACCTAGAAATAAACCTAGGTATAATAAAAACTACAATCAGAATTCTTATTCTGAGAGACAAAAACCTACAACTTCTAAAAAGACTTACACGATTAGGTCTTCAAATTCTAGAAAACCAACTCTAAATCCTGATAGACACGTCAGAAAATTTAGAGAAAACAAAACATACAAGCAGACTTTGAAATGTTTCGCTTGTAATCAACCAGGACACTTCTCTAGAGATTGTCCTAACATTACAAACCTTTACACTAAAGAGGCAGAATTGATAAAATCCTGCCACATGAACCTTCTTCCAATAGATGAAGATGTTTCTACTGACTCTGAAATACTATCAGTGATTAGTATTACAGAGTATAATGATGAAATCAATTTAGACAAAAGCCATAAAGATTATGGCCTAATAAATGATTTCACAAATAATGAATTCATTCACCTTTATCCTAACGAAAATGATTTTCAACTGGATAATAAATATAATGAATTAGGAAATATATTAGATGATTATTGATATTATCTAATGAATACTACAGTTTCTTCTTTTAAGGAAACTAACAAAAGGGTATTGCAGAGTTCCTTCAGTTATACAGGTACTACTATGGCAAACCCAATCAACAAAGGCAAGTTACCAGCCTCAACAACTGAAGAGTTTGATACTCTAAAGTTTGGAACACAACATCTTCCGGTTTTACCAGAAGGTCACCCTCAACAATTCAAATGTCTGAGGAACTGTCCCGTTTCAAGGGAACAAAAGGTATTACTTGATGCTCTTCATCGAGCTTGTAGTACAACAACAAAATTTAATGCTATTAATGCATTAAATTATTACTTTGCAAAAATGTTGCCCGCTGTTTTTAAAAAACCCAAGAAAGAAGCCTACTGCCTTTTTACTGGAGACAAGCGTGGTGTCTACCTATCATATCCCTCTCTGTTCAAGGCGATAAGTAATGACAAACACAGCAAAATTCAAGGATTTGATAACCTTGAAGAAGCAGTACAAGCGATGGTCAGCTATGTTGGAGGTGACAACAGCCTGTTAGACCATCCCGAAGTTGGTAATTTCATTTTTGAAACACCAACAAAACAAAAGAATTTTTCAATTTATGATTCCATTAAACTAAGACAACGCTTGGCTTTTGCCAAGAAAATGGAACAAAAATTAAAAAACTCTTTTTCTTTTCAGAAAAATGATTTTCAAAAACATATTTCCTGTTTGGAAATAGAAAATAAAGATTTAAAAACCGAAATCTTAGAACTTCGTAAAAAGATGGACTATGATTTCGAAACCATTGATTATGGAACTTTTACAAATAAAATGGCCTATGTTGGGTCATTCAAAAGAAAATTTTTGGGACAACTTCCCGGCCCAATCCAAGAAAAAATCTACGAACAGGTTTTTGTTGCCTTGTTAGTAGAACTTGGAGCATTACAAAACTGGTTATTCCAATTACCAGTAGATTCTACACTCCACCTATACTTGAGGATAGTCCAATATCAAGATGATTCGACACCCTCATTTTCCGATCAGTACAACATCGGAATAAACCCTTATTTTGTAGAATGTGATCCTGCTTGGATCGAGTAAACAATTAACTCGAAGATTTATTCTTTTCGGGATTCATGAAAAGGATGATTATTTTCGAAACTCTAATGATAATGGTATATAAATAATATTTATTCTTTGTCTTTATATTTATGTTTATTAAAATATAATATTTTATTCTATGAGTGAACATATATTTTTTTTAGGATTTAGTTTATTTCTTAACTAACTTATTCAATTTTTATATATTTATTTTTAAAATGATTGACTTTAATATATTTATGATAATATTATTTATTCTTATAAACTTGTTTCATGGATATTAGAATTTTGAGAAAAAACCTTTTTTTTTAATCTGAATAGGGTGTGCCATGCCCATATTATAAAAGAAAAGAAAAAAAAAACAGATAAATTTTTTTATCAAAGAAAAAGAGTCAAACATTAGTTATATACAATATTTTATTGGAAAAAAGTCTATGTAAAAAGTTGGTTATACTTACAAAATAATTTTGTCATATAAATTAAATTTAAGAATAATTATGTTTATAAAGTTATGTTTTTATATTTTGAATGCTATTTTTAATTATTTTGAATGCTATGTTTAATATATATTATTTATATGTTAGAGTATTTTAAATTATAATGTTATGTTTACTTAATTAAAGAATACAATTTTAATTTTGTAAAGGAAAAATATATTTTCTAGCCAAAACAAGGTATTATGTTAAACATAAAAGAGTCAAATATGTACAAAGACACTATGATAACATAAATTAACATTTAAAAAATGATATATCAAATAAAAAAAATATACATGTTAAATTTACCTTAATGGTAACATAAAATTTTGGTCGTAGTTAAATATATATTATATGATAAAATTTAAGAAAACTATATTAAATAATAATAAAAACCCATAAATTATTTTTTACATTGAGAAAACTGCTTCAAATAATTTGGATTTTATTCAAACACCTCAACAAGTATATTCAATATCTCATATAAACATGCATAACAGAGAACCAATTACATCCTTCCATCTGAATGCTATCAGCATGAGTGGAAAACCAATTTAATGGGTCCAAATACATTTCATGACCAACCTTGCCAATTTTTCTTCCCAATTTGAGGATAAAGTTTATAAATGATAAAATTTTCCAATTCACATTTAACAACCTAATTAGACACTATGTATTAACAGTGTGAGCTTGATACACCATCATGTCAAAATTAAAGCAGAACTTTAAATAATACGAAACATTGCTCTGTGGAAGGATATTCGCTACTCATCGTCCTCAGGATCAAAATCCTTAACCTTCACATCTGCATCTTCTCCATACTGAATGCAGTTGTCAATTTGGGCCAGTACGTATTGTATACTGGAGATGATAAGGAACCATCCATAAGTATAAAACAAAAATGTGTTCATTTAGTAGGTAGGATTAACATATGAAACAGAGAACGTGATGTTATAGGCATGGACTTCAAAGATAACTAAGAAGAGTCATTCATTCATGCAGTTACCAAAATATTACTTTGGCTATTTAAGAATGAACATGATTGATCATAACTTAGTGAAAAAAAAAAAAAATTGCAAGAAAGTGTAGTTTCAATTCCTTCAGATGAATTGCACATACAAGCTGCACCCAAGCTTGAACAAATAGTTTAAAAATCTACCCTTTAGGCTATTTTGAGGCGTTAGAAAAAGGCTAATTGTCCACTTTATGCTTCTCAATCCGACATCTTTTGTGTCATTAGGTGCAAAGAGGTTAGGCATCTATAAATAAGACCCCTTACCTATTGTAATACTCACCTTTGATTGAATGAGAATTGATTTGCTTAACTGTTTTTCTTCTTGTTCTCTAAGGTCATATATGGAATAATCTTATCTTTCACTAAGGAACCTTCTTTGGAAGAGGAACCTTCCAACAACTCAATGCACAAGCTACAAAGAACCATAATTTGAGTTGAACTAATAGGAGGAACCAGTTCCTATTTATTAGCATTGATTGAGAAAATAAGAAAATACTACAAAGGCATAAGAGCAATGTTAGCTCCCAGCCAAGGGTAATTCCTGTGGCCCTAGCTATAAGCTAAGAAACTGATACAATTAAGCTATATCTTCTCCTTGTATCTATATCTATACCTTCTCTCTCAATAACTAGCATTCTTTTCACTCACCAGTGCCTCATCTGAATTATAATAAAGCTGCTGAGCCTTTTGCCTAGGCAGGCACGCAGGTGTAATTTGTAGGACCTTCTTCACCCATGAACCTTCAGTTGGTCCATAGCACTATCATCAAGTATAATAATTTAATTTATGCCATTCTATCTCTTTTTCTTTTTCCCTTAAAAATAGTGTACACATTTTCAGTTAACAATGTAGTCAAAATTGCAATTAAGATTGTGGAATCACACAATTTCTGATTAAGTGTCCAAGCAAGATTGCCCAAGTAGGATTGGTGGGTTAAGACGGTGGAATTGCACAATTCCATGGTTTCACACATCATATCTGATTAGGTGCAACAAGATTGCACCGAAGCAAAATGGTGGGATTGATGAAGAAAATTGTGAAATTGTTGAATCAACAAATGCAACTGATCCTCTAGGTTTGGCTTGAACAACTACCATGGAGATACTGTCCACGGTGAAACTTCCTATGTTATGGAACCAAAGAAGGTCATCCTTGCATTCTTGTTCAGCATTGGCATTGTTAGCACACTTGAACTGCTTAGCGTGTGGCAATGTTGATCAATGCTTAGAGCATTCCACATCTTAGAGAAACCCTAACCCTAGGCCCCCAACACTAGAACCTTTCCCATTGCGGCGCTATGTTTTGAATGAGGTAGAGAGGAAAGAGATCGATCGCGAAGGGAAAGAGAATGGGAGGGTGAGCCAGATAAGCACAGGTGCAGGTTTTGTGGTGATATTATGTCAAGAGTTTAATGGTGGAATATTATCTATTGTAGAAAATTTATATTATTAATTTATTAAAAGCTATCACTAATATAACTTTAAATGTAGTTCCTTTATCAGCCAACTACACATCAAATAAAATAATTTGTAACTAAATAATAATATAAAATTAGTTTGCACATCAATAAGACTAATTCATTCTATTAAATTCAATTCTCTTCATCATAATTTATTTTCAAGCATTTTTCTAAAAGATTTTATGTATATTTTATAAAAGTCAATCTTATTATTCAAATTAAATATGATTTTACGAATGATAAAGATTTTTATAATTTAGTATTTTAATTAGGCTACTTAGACTTTAGTAAATAGGTATTTAACTTGTTTTGTTTGTCACTTATGAGTCAATACTTGATTGATGTGCCTTTTTTTCCTTATAGTTTATGATGTAGAAGTAGAATCAATGATGTGTTACATTCCACTCATAATCTCAACTGACTACCTTGTTACGATTCAAATTTCAGCATCGGCACTAGTGTACATATCCAATACCAGTCTAAGTTGCACAGCCACAAGCAAAATTATATCCCTTATAGGCTAATTATATAAATACAAGATTATTCAAGAAATGAACAGGTAGTTAGAATATGCAAGTATAAAATAGAGAGGAGCATACCTTTTTTCCTTCCTCAAGTCTAGTGGTATAAAACTCACCATACTATAGTTATTAACCTGTTCAGAAAGAGGGGGAATAAATAAATAAACTGATAGAACATAAGCAAAAGTGACAGATTAATAAGGACTGACTGCCCCACAAAGATATATGGGAGTGGGTTAAACAGAAACAAATCCCTTAACTTTTTTGGAAGACTGACCCCAAAGGGAATGCAAATTTCTATATTTTTTTTTCAAGAGGTGACATTAGCTTAGTAGACTGATCCCAAAGTTTGGAAGTATAATGACAAATTTGAAAATGCATTTAAAAACCCAAAAGAACAATTCGCTTGTCTGAACATCATGAGTAAGAAAGCTTGCAATGATATTAAAAAAGGAATGTCACCCTAGTAATCTTGCCAAGAAATTCAATGACAATTCATGCTTGATTAACATCACCTATGCACGGATGACACCAACAGTTACTCGTATTAATACAGTATACATGATAAATTTATTAAAATGAATCCCAAACAAATTTTGAATAACTTAGTTAAACTCAAAATCAGTTCAACATAGTAATGAAATGATTAAGTGATACTGTAATATATAATATATTTTACTAACATGGGTAGAATGATAAACTTGTTTAAAAGATTTGTTTTATCACATCAAATTAAAATATTCTGCTGCTGCAACAGAATTCAAATTAGTGCATCCTCAAATAAGTCTATCAACTTTTGTGATTGATTGGCTTAATTTGATTAGGATAAAAAAAAAAAAAAAAACTCCTACTAACCGATATAATTTTAAGAAGAGTGTTCAAGTTAAAGAGAAAGCAAATTAATTGATATAATTTATTATGTAAGACACATGTTAATCACTACAGACACTGATTAAACAATTAAAAGTGATTTCTTTAATCATATAAGAGATTAAGATTCTAAGGTTTGTTTCTCAAGGAACAAAAATAAAAGAAAGAAATCAAATGCTTATCAATTCTTATTAAATTGCTATTTATATTCCTTGGTAGTACTCTCATGTTTCACAAAACCCCAGTGTATTATGAAAGTGTAGATTGCTATCGAATTGTTCAATATAAAGCTAAATGGCATATCACCAAGACACTAACATTAAAGAACAAGTACGTAGATTTTTAACTTATAATATTATTGGGAGAGGAGAAAAGAGCATAACTTTCAGAAATTCATAAATGACTCACCAATTCAATCAAAGCTTTATTCAGCTTTGCATATTGAGGACCCATCCGTTGATTCAGTTCAGACAGTAAAAAGGTGGGCTCTGGATCCAAAAAACTATGAGAAAAAAAGTCTATTAGAATTTAAACGAATGAAATTATGAAAATAAATATGGGAAAGAAGATGTTGTGATAGTGATTACTCGTCAAGATCCTTCTTATTAGTCACAAGGTCCATCTTTGAGAGGATATTAACATGAGGTAGTTCAAGTTGAACCATTGCAGAAAGGCATGCCATGCATCCACTTATAAATTTGGTCACATCTGTCATGAACTGGAAACATTTTAAAATCATTAATCAACAAAGATAATAATAGAAATATACAATAACCGGAAGTCTAAAGGAATACGAGAAAGTCAAAAGTTTAAAGGAAAATATGATTTCAGAAAACTACCACAAACCTGTGAATCAAGTAAGTAAACAGCACAAACGCTAAAATTTTTCCGCTTCAAATGTTCCACAAAATTCTTAAGCACTGGCACGTGTGAATAAAGTTCTATCTGACCTGCAAAACATTACAAGGTAAAGTTGGTTTATCACAACTTTCAGGTCAATCAAAAATCTTTATAAACAATTTTAGGATAAACTTCAAATGTTACAGAAACTTCCATAAAACCTTTTTTTTCTAAAATTACATATTGAAGAAGTTCGTTATACTACCCATTCTGAATTTCCACCCTTTCATACACATCGCATTTTAAAATTCTAACAATATTATCCCCTCATAGTCACAATATTCTCAAAAAATTCAAATGCAAAATTTTGGAAACACTTGATAATAGAATATGAGAAAAGAGTTTAAAATATTGATTATCTCTTAGCCGATTCATTTATTTATAGGAGGAGGTATACAGGATTACAAAGGGTATAGAGACTAAAGGCTACAGCTTGGTGCTAGTAGCTAATAAGATAAAAACAGCTTTCAGTCAAGATAGGTTAACCTAACACAACAAGTTATCTCAACAAAATAACCTATTCTAACCGATACTAAAACATATGTAAATAACAAAATGGGTAGAGAAAAGAGCATGAATACCAGGGCAATCAAAAACCAAGTAATCATCATCTAAATAATTGTCTAGTTCCTCAGTGAGCCAATCATCCAGGTTATCTTCAAGATGCCTAAATATGATTATTAAGGCAACAAAATTTTATATCAAACTTTAAAAACAGCAAATAGCTTATATGGGTATACAAAGGAAATAGGGAGAAACAGTAACACACATGGAGATAAACTGTACTAACAGACATAACCTCTAGTTAAGGCAGCCTGAAAAATAATAAAGAATCACTATTTCAAAGAAGGTTGCAAAGAAAATAGACAACCGCCCTTCAAAAATATATGGAAGATAACAACTGAAATATTCTATAAGAGAAAAAAAAGGATACTCCATGCAGTAAACAAGACCACCATTTGGACCCAATCCAAGTTCCTCCATAACATCATCCAGGGAAATGAGTTCCCTAATATCTGCAAGCATCTCAATCCAAAAAAGTCAAGCTCCACGGATAACCAAAAATTTAAACCCACAAATAACCACATAATAACATATTTTATTTACCCATTGCAACAGGATACTCAAAATTTTCGGCAGCAGGATCAAGGTTCACAACATGAATTGTTCGTCGTGAAGCCACACAGTGCTCATACAAACTCGAGCAATAAGTAGACTGATTGCACAAAAAGCAAGACATACACTGATAAGCATATCTCAAATAAAGCATGAGTCAAGTACATACATACAAAGCAAGGTTCCAAACTGAATTCTACAACTGCAATGGCAACAAAAACTCTATAAACCACAATTGCAGCCACATTTTCTAGCAATTTTCCACAGTAATTGCAATTTTTTACATTGCAATGTAACCGCAGGTTAAAACTTTTGTGGTTTGACTCAGCAAAATCTATAAAACTCCCTTGTAGCCACATTTGCTAGCAATTTTTCACAGTAATTGCATTTTTTACATTGCAATGTAACAGCAATTGAAACCATTTAAACTATGTTATGCAGTTTAACTCCGAAATTCGGGGAAAACTGTAAAATTACCTTGCCACTACCAGCAGGACCTATGACAAGCTGTGCATAACCCATGGTAACTTGTGAAACTGCAAGGAGGTTTCAGAAAGTACAAAGATAATTGACAACTCGAAAGGAAGCGAGAACTGCAACAGTAATGTAAGCAGTGCACCAAACCGCAACGGCCAACAACAAATTCACGACATCAGTGTAGGCCATAAACGACACACTACTACAAAACCAGAACATTAGAAAATATCAAACGCAAAAGGAGAAAAAAAAAAAAAAAAAATATATATATATATATATATATATATATATATATATATAAACGCTTCATATCCACTTCTTGGTTTTTTGCTTTTGCAGTGCAAAATGTTATTTTGGGGATAGATTTTCTTATCGATTGCAATACACAGAAACCCATAAAGAATAATAAAAAAAAAAACGCAAGGGAATGAGATAATGAGTTTCGATCATGATAACAAAACCTGTGAGGGTCGTCTGCAACTGTGCTAGGGTTGGATTGTTTAATGAGGCAGAAAAACAGAGACGAATCGCGGAATGAAAAGTCTCCAGGATTTCAAAAAGCTGGCGTAGTTGGTACTTATACTAAACTGTCAATAATGAAAAATAATAAAATTTAGAGTAAAATAAATTATGTTTATAAAGTTTGGAATATTATAAATTCATTGCATAATCAATTTATTAAATAATATATTTAAAATAAAAAAATAACATAAATAAAATCTCTTTTAATTTATTTAGATTTTGATACACAAAATTTAATAATAAAAAATAAGATTTCCTGATATAATAATACAGTTTTTTTTTCTCTTTCCTCATTTATTTTTTCTCTTTTTATTTACATTTTTTTCTTTGTTTTCCTTCTTTTTCTCTCTTTTTTTAAGTAAAAATGCTGTTAAAATTTAATAAAATGAATTGTTTATTATTTGAAAAAATAAAAATATTTAAATTATACAAAATATTATAATTTAATATATTATATTAAAAAATGTTATATTATAAATTTGAAGTAGTAAAAATTGTTGTATTATAATTATTAATAAAAAGAATTGAATATTTATTATAAAGTAACTTTTCTAATAAATATATTTTTGATATTACTTAAGACTAATTTTCATAACTCAACCTAATTATAATTAAATTAGATTACTAAATAAAAAAATATTTAACTCATTAATATTTGTTATTTTTTAATTACATGAGTAATTGATTTGTTATTATAAAATAATTTAAAATTAATTATTTATGTAAATAAAATTAATTATTGTCATTGTAATTTTAAATAATTAGTTGATATTTTTTTAGTTTTAATATTAATTTTAAAAAGAGAGAAAAAAATGAGTGAATGAAAAAAAGAAAAAAAAACTCATTAAAAGAGAAGAAAAACTAATTAACCATACATGTCAATTTAGATAAATAAATTAATAAAGATTCTAATTAAATTATTTTTCTTTTAAAATATATTATTTATAAGATTGAGAATGAATCTCAACAATAATATATGTAAAAAAAATACTTAATTTATGTCAATTTATTTACTTAAATATTTTTTTCCTGTTTATATATTTTTTTATCTCTTCTTTTTTTCTTCTTTCCTCATCCATTCTTTATATATATATATATATATATATATATATATATATATATATATATATATATATATATATTTATATTTATATATCATGTCTCTTATTTTTCTCTCTTTCCTTTCCTATTTATTCTCTTAATTAAATTATTATATTAAAATTTAATAAAAATATGATAAAATAAATATTTTAAAAATAACATTGAAACTAAAAAAATATTAATTAAAAATTTAAAATTACGATAATAATAAATAATTTTATTTATCTTGATAATAAATAATTTTATTTACGTTGAAGTAAATAATTAATTTAAAATTATTTTATCATAATAAATAATTACTCATTTAATTATAAAAATACCAAATAGTTATAATTTATATGTATTTTTATTTAATAATTTAATTTAGTTATAATTAGGTTGAGTTACGATAATCAATTAAATTAAGTATTTTTTTAAATATTTAATAAAAATTATTTTAAAATAAATATCTATTTTTTCTTAATATTTATAACATAAAAATAATATTTGTAACATTTCAAATTTATCATATAATATTTTTTTCTTATATAATATATTAAATTATAATATTTTTGGATCATTTAGATATTTTTATTTTTTTAATAATAATAATAGACTTAGGTTATTAAATTTTAATCTACTATTTTTAACTGAAAAATAAGATAGAATGAGAAAAGAACGGGAAAAAAGTAAATGAATAAATAAATAAATAAATGAGGGAGAAAATATGTGTTGTTGAAAAAATAAACTTAAAAAAAAATTATTTAAATATATTTATTATATGAAATTTATAGTTTATATTTTTTAATATTATTTAATTATTAAGATATTTATTATATTTCAATACTACAAAATATATGTTTGCAAATGTCGTTTTAATATACACATATAAATAGTTATAATATGAATATGATCAGTGTGACGTATGTCTTATTTTAATATATTATATTAATATTACTATGCATAGTAAAAATTTTCTTATATATGAATACTTGAAGTGGGGGAGGAGGGAAATAAAAAATTTTCCTCTCATCCTTCTTCTTCTATTGTCTAAATTTCAAGCAACGAGACTCTACTCGTGCAGGATCTGGTGAAACGGGAGAGAACTTGAATTAAGTGGGAAAGCTTCGGTAGAAATACCATACCAAATAAGGGGAAGTTTAATTCATTCAATATATGAAATTGAATTGTTGGGTACTCTGTGAATAAGGAATAGGAGTAGAGATATGAATTATTTGAATGTCTGATTTCGAAGAATGTCTGTTGTAGAATTTCTGATTTTGATGAACTGTTCACCGTTTAAAAGTTTTAGAAATTCTTGAAATTAAGGATGAATTATATAATAAAAGTGTTGTTTTTAACTTAAATTGAACATGTTTATGGTTTAATTTTGATTTGGAACTAATTTGGGTGATTGAAACTGAGAAATTTGAAATCTGGAATTCGAAAATGGCGAACTGGAAAACCTGCAAAATTCGCTCAAGCGAAAATACGTCGCTTGAGCGAGGATACCTGGAAAATTTGGGATTCTCGGGTTCTTTCTCGCTCAAGCGACCGCTGTACTCGCTTGAGCGACGAAGTCTTCAAACAAAGGTGACCCTCGGGTCATGTCTCGCTCAAGCGACCGGTGTACTCGCTTGAACGACGAAAGCTTCAAACAAAGGTGACCCTCGGGTCATGTCTCGCTCAAGCGACTGGTGCACTCGCTTGAGCGACGAAAGCTTCAAACAAAGGTGACCCTCGGGTCATGTATCGCTCAAGCGACTGGTGCACTCGCTTGAGCGACGAAAGCTTCAAACAAAGGTGACCCTCGGGTCATGTCTCGCTCAAGCGACTGGAGTACTCGCTTGAGCGACGAAACCTTCAAACCAAGGGGACTCTCGGGTTCTGTATCGCTCAAGCGAACGTTGTACTCGCTTGAGCGAGCGAAGGAAGAAAAAAGGGATATGGTGGGGATTTTTTTTAAAGATCAAGTGTAAACTAGTCATTTTACATCACAGGGACATAAATGGAATTTTCAAAAATGTCCAAGGGTAAAATAGTAAAAATGATTTCGGAAATAGTTTCAGAAATAGTTTCGGAAATGATTTCGGAAAGGATTTTAGGAAAATATATATATAAAGAGAGAGAGAATGAAAGTAGAGTGTTGTGACGTGTGTGGGTCAGACTAAGCCTGAGGGCTGATGCCCAGAATTAGTCCTGAGACGTTATATATTGGCTAGACTGAGCCAGAAGGTTGGTGCCAGAATCAATCAAATACTATTTTTATTGACCCGAATGAGCCGTGAGGACAGGTGGTCCAGAATCCGGCAAATGTGAATAAATTTTGTATGTTTGAATGGTACCGGGGTGGTACGAGTACATTAGTGTAATAACTATGTCGGAGGATTCCGAATGAGGTCCCGGACTTCACCGATTGGTCGGGTCGGGTAGACTACGAGATCGGGTGGTGAGAAGTCGATGGGGGGATGACTCGGTGGCGCGCTCGGAGGGGTACTCCGATATGAGTGATGAAGTGGCGCCGGTAATCCTACTCGTGTGGAGGGTGGTCGGAATGGTACTGCAGGTACCGATCACAATGTGCCCACGGATGATAGCCTCCGAGTTCGGGCATAGTTAGGGTATACTTCCGGAAGGTGTCTTAGTGTGTTGATAATTTCGTAATTGATCATAATATATAATTCTATATCTGTTTTATTATATCGAATGATTTAATACTTACCCCTATTTTTCCATGTGGATGGGACTGCGATGATCACTTTTATGTGGGAGCGAGATCGGGAGTTGAGAGATGGTGATGAGACTACCTGGACGAAGAGGATAGTTCAGATGAGATAGCTTCGAGGGAGCTACTCTTACATGTATAATATATAAATAAATTAAGTTACTATATTTTGAAGTTCGTTAGTGAACCTGGAATTTCAATATATGTTACAAATACATTAATATAATGTAAAATAGATATTGTTATTTACTTGTTTACTACTTTGCGAAGACATCATTATAGTAGCGATTTCTAGAGTTGTTACAATAAGAATCGAATACTTTTAAAAAATTAATGATTTTATAGATTATATGTTTGTAAACCTTATTTTAATATATCTACACGTAGAAATAGTCATAATATGGATAAAGGTAACAATTTTATAAATTAATATATAAATTAGTTTATAAGAGAAAAAAATGGAAGTGTTTGATATTGATAATTAAAATTAAATTAGGTTTGATCTTATTTTAAAAAAATAAACTTATTTAAGGTATATAAATAAAAGTTAAATATAATTTTTTTCTTTTTATAATTTAATGTTCGCTAATAAAATATAATTAAGGTTGATCACAACGACGTATTATCATTTCTTAAACATTGATTTGTCACATTTTTATTTTTAAAAAATATTTTAATGGATAAATAGAGGAAATTGTATATAAATTATTATTAACTTCCATTTTTATGCAAGACGTATGAATGTATATCAGAACATATTCCTAAATAGAGGACCAATGGGTAAGAATAAATTAAAACTCTTTTTTGACCCACCATAGGTACAAAGTTGAGTGTTATCCCTTTAAAAAAAATAAAGATAATATTATTTAACTGAGTGGTCATCATTGATCCACTCCGGATTTCTCCCAACATCATCACATTTTCTAAACAATTAAGATGTAATTCTTCAAAATTTATCATCTAATATTTTTAAATACAATGTATGAATATTTTTAATAAAAGACCCATTGATTTGTTAAAAATAATTAAAATTAATAAAAAAATATAATAATAATGAAAATAATAAATCAATAATTATTATATTAACTAGTTATAAAATAATAATAATATTTATAAATAAATTAAAAAATTATTATAAAAAAATTAATTAATTAAAAAGAAGAAGATGAATTGATTATCTTAAAGAGATAAGATAAGCAAAATACAAGAAAGAAATAAATTAAAGTTTGTAATTATCCAACATTAAGTGTAGTAATAAAAAAAATCCCAAGTACAAATATGGGCTAATGATCGTGAAAAAAAATAAAATAAAATTAAGGAAAGAAGAGAAAGTGAGAAAGAGATACGGGAGAAAAAAAGAAAAGAAAAGAGAAAACAATATATAAACAAATTTAATAAAATTTTAGTGTATCAATTATAATTACTAAGATAAAGAAAGGATACTTCTATATTTCTATTTATTTATTTTATAATTATGGTTGCTAATGTCTATAGCATCGTTTTATTTATTTATTTATTTTATAATTATAAGTACTTAATCATGTGTCTATAATCTCATTCTTTTTATTTTTTTATTTTTAATTTATCTCAAATTATGTATTGATCATTTTTATTTATCTGACGTCACGTATTAATCCTTTTACTTATATTATTTAATTTATCTTTAATTACATACTCATCATTTTATTTATAATTACGCATTTGTTTTTTTTTTATATTTTTTTATTTTATTTATCTTCAATTTTGGTACTATTTTATATTTATATATTTAATTTATATTTAATTTCACAATGATCCTCTTTTATATTTATTTATTTATCTCTAGTCATCTTTATTTATTTATTTATATTATTTTCAATTATACCCTAGTTCTCTTTTATTAATTTATATTTATATTTTTTAAATTTTATTAAAAAATAATATTTTATTTATGAAGATTTATGATATTATAGTTGAATGTTGGACCTTAAAGATTGAAATGAGTAAATTTTACTAAAGAGTAATTAATTTTAAGGTCGTTTATCCTGATTAATCAGTACAAAAATTAATTCAAATAATTATAATATAAAATAAATAGAATATGTTGATGAAATTAAAAAGTTAATTTTATATATTATTTTGATATAATATTATTTTATATGATATTTATTCTCACTTCTCTATTTTATTTCTTGTGCATGATACAACTAAAATATAAACTTAAATAAATGGAGACGTTAAGTTGAAAGATAAATATCATTAATAAATTAAGTACTTTTAGAGAAAAAAAATTACTTGACAACTTTAATACTTATTTATGATATGGAAACAATGTAAATTTGTAAATTTCATATATAAATATATAAATATTTATCTCATATCTTTTGTCAAAATTTAATAAAAAAATAATCCTTTCTTAAAATATAGTTAAATTAATCACTAAAGAAAAAAGGTTTGTGCTTTAAGAAATCCTCCCAATCGGGTGAAGGGGGACAACTATAAACCCCTAATCTTGTCCGACCTCACAATAAAGTTCAAAAATCCTCTATTTCAAAAATGGACAAGGCTTCATTAGGGCCCTAGTAATGTTTTCTAGACTTCATTTAAGATAAAGAGGGTTTTCTTAGAAAATAAAAATTAGGATTTTTGTCGGAAGGTTGGGACGACCGTCCCAACCCCCTTGATGGCCTGGGACGGTCGTCCCAACCCCCTTTGTGCCATGGGATGACCGTCCCAAATCTCAGACGCCCGTCTCACCCCTTTTTGTAGCCTGGGACGACTGTCCCAAATTCTAGACGGTCGTCCCACCTAACAAAATCTGGGACTGTCGTCCCGACCTCTAAGAAGACTCCAATTGAGAGAAACTATTGTATTCCATTATCTCTGCAATCATTCCATTCCCCTATCTTTCTCTCTTTTGCCTTGAGTATCTTAGATATTGCCTTCTTATTATGATGTTCTTCACTATGACACTTTGTGATGCATTATCCTCTCTACCTTGGTTTATGTGCAAATTTGTGCTAAATTTCCCTTGCAATATTTTTCATAATTATCAATGAAATAGGGAGAGATTTTGATGATATTAATTTGTGTGAAACAGGGGGAGATTTTTTTTCTCTTATAATAATTTTTTATGATTATCAATGAAATAGGGAGAGATTTTTTGATGAATTAAAATCTGTCTAAAATCTATTCCTAATTCTGAATTAAAAAGGGGAGTTAGGAGAAGTTCTGTTCAGATGAGTTAGGGGGAACTTTGTTATTAACATATCTAGGGGGAGTTTAAATATATTGTGCTAATTTGGGCTAATATGTGCTACACTCATGGTTATCGAACTCGCGGGTTGACTCGTACACCCGTACGAGTCAGCGAGTCAAGCTGTTGTTTACGGGTGAACTCGCATGTAAACTCGTTTTTTGTTTGACTCGGAGTGAACTCGGAATAGACTCGTTGACTCGGAATAGACTCGCGAGTTTGAGAGCGAGTCACCGAATTCGTAGGAAGGACGAAACGACAAACAAAAATGTCTTACCATTTCGATTTTAAACCCAAACAAAAGCCCTAACCACCCAAATCGAAAACCTAAATGATTGAAACCCAAATCAAAAACCCTAATCGAAGAAGAAGAGAAAATCGAACAGATCTGACCTCCCTCGTCCCCGCAGTGGTGTCGCGCGTTGAGTTCTGGTCGCGTCGCCCTGCAGCTCAGCCCTCGCAGCTCCGCGCGTCGCGTTTTCGCCCCCGCAGCTCCGCATCGCGTCGCGTTTCGCCCCCGCGTCATCGTCTCGCGTCGCAGTGCTGCGTAAGTGAGTGTGAGGAGGATGTGTGTGCGTTGCATTTCTGTTAAATGCAATGCATTTTTTTTAACTGAAACTTTTTTTTTAATTCATTAGCTGTTAAATTTTTTTATATTATTTATTTATTTATTTATTGAATAGGTAGTATTTATATAATTTATTCTCTGTTTTATTTATTGAATTTATTTTTTGTTGCATATTTTATCTTTTATTTTAGTTGTTTTTTATAGTTGTTCTAAAAAAAAAAATTATTTTATTTTTAGTTAATTGAGACTCGATTTGCAATGTCCGGAAGTGGGACTGCTTCAAATTCTTGTGATTCCAATGTTAATGTATCTTCACTACCTAGACCTCCTAGACCTAGAAGTAAAAATGCTTTAGGAAACCGGACCGACATTGGATGGAAACATGGAACAAATGTTTCGGGTAATGGAAACATATAATTAGAGGATTGGAGCTAGAAAGTTGAAGTTATTTATGTTTTGGTGATTTGTATTAACTTATGTATTTGGTGTAATTTGAACTTATATAACAATCATGTGTGTTGAACCAAGTTATTTTAGAATTATTGAACTATTGTTTTTTATTTTCATTAATTTTGATGATGAAATTCTGAATTTATATTATTATATAGAATTTTTCATATGAAGTAGACTCTTACGAGTCTACGAGTCGAGTTTACGAGTCGAGTCTACGAAGCTCTCGCGAGTCAACGTAGACTCTCGATTCTGATAACCTTGGCTACATTATACTGTACAAATTTGTGCTAATCTTGAACTGACTATATAGAGTCAAACATTTTAATTCATTTCAGGTATTTCCTTGATCATCATAAAAAAAGGGAGAGATTGAAAGCAATGAGGGGGAGATTGATGGCAATGTGAAATATGTCCCTACATTCCCAAGAGATGATTTTGATGATGCATAAACCTCCAAAGCACAAGTGTGATAAAATTTCGTAACATGATATTTTTCACTATCATAACCAATTATGATGCATCAGAAATGGAAAACTATTTTCTCTTTGTCAAAATTGATTATACCGGTAACATAATCGATTATGGCAGTTTAAATTTGAAAAATATATCCGTTTTTGAAGAATAAATGTTTTTTGGTACATCCTGATTTTTCTCTATGAAATTATTGATGACTAACAACTATTTTCTAATGTTATTTTCCTATTTAAATGAGTTTTGATGAAAAATAAAAAATATACAATTACAGAATTCGAAAATACAATTTTACATTCATTCAGTTTTAAGAAAATAATTTTGAGAAAGGCAACAAAGATATTTTACACCTTCTGAGAAAATCCTCTTCTCTACTACCTTGTGCACTTTCATTGTTAATCACACTTGTTCTTAGAGGCTGACATTCTATAGGCTTCTACAATTTGTTGTTTTCATTACTCAGGTGTGATTGTTCTTATTTTATGACCTTCATCCTTTGTGGGCTTATGTGGTTGTTGTTAAATTCCTTTTTTAGGGTTTAGGTTGTTGCTCTTATTTTCTTTTCCTATAAACTAAGGGTTTTCTTGTGGGCATTGTTTCTTGAGAAGTGTGTTTTTCTGTTCATCCCTTTGATTTGTTCGGGGAGGTGTTCATCCTTAGTGAGATTCTAAGGAGGTGTTTTCATCCCTTTGATTTGTTAGGGGAGGTGTTCATCCTTAGTGTGATTCTAGGAAGATGTCCATCCTTTGTGTGTTGGTGGCAAAGGAGGTGTTTTTCATCCTTTGATTTGTTCAAAGGAGGTGTTCATCCCTAGTGGGATTCTAGGGAGATGTTCATCCTTAGTAAGTTTCTAAGGATGTGATTATCTTTTTAATTAATTTACTTTTTACTGGTTCCTCTGCTGAGTTGATTGTAATTTGTAAACTGAATTTGAAAGATAGTGAATTAGGATCACTCTTGTGATTAGAGTTGACTGAGAACTTGATGTAGGGTTGACTATACCCGAACCAATATAAAATACTATGTGTTTTTCTCTTCTTTATACCTCTGTGATAACATCTACTTATTTTCTTCCTTTTATCTCTCTGA